TGGGGCGGGAGAAGGGGGCTTTGGTCACTAGACCTGGAGTGAGGCCTGCGGAGCTGACCACCCTGCCAGCCGCTGTCACTTGGCAGAGGGCAGGGGCACGCAGGACACGCGCCAGCGGGACCTGACTGACCCCCAGTTCCACCCTCGCTGAGGGACTGAGTGTGACTCGCCTTCCTTGTAGGCCTGGGTTTCCTCCCTCCTTCCTTCCCTTCCTCCCTCCTTCCCTCCCTCCTTCCTTCCCTCCCTCCCTCCCTCCCTCTCTCTTCTCTCTCTCCCTCTCTAGGTCTCTTTAATGATTAAGAAAAATATTTGTAAATAAATTATATTTAGAAGCCATTTGCTCCATAGTTAGTACTCAAATCAGGCATCTAACATATTAGAGCACTCTCATGGCTCTGCCAATATTGATCTAGCTTGCCAGCCTTTTAAGAAGGACAGGCATATTCATTTTATTACTACATGTTGATTCTTAGCATTATTTTCATCCATTGCTTTAACTGTGCCAGTTCTTCTGGAAACTCTAAAGGAACTTGCTATGTTTTTATAAATTGGGACGGGGAGGCCCCAGCTGCTGCCCTGTTCCAGGGACCCGCCGGGTCCTGGGCTCACGGTTGCCTCCATTTCGGGCAGAATTAACCCGAGAGGAAGGCCCCGCGGCTGTGTCTGCGTGTGAGTGAAAGAGCCGAGCACAGCCTCTGATGAAGGGCTTAACGCTCCTATTTATTATTCATTAAACATTTTGCCGGCTCAGAACCTCTGAAGCGGCGAACCTGGCGGTGAGCAGGGAGGGGCGACCCACAGGCGTGTAGTCATTTAGCGCGAAGCGGCCGCGCAGCCCGTTCACCCGAGTGCACATCCGTCCGCCGCCTCCGGCCTCCCCTCCACCCGCAGCGCTGTGTGGGCTCCCTGCGCTGTGTGCGGGCTCCTGGCGCCCACGAGCCCTTCAGGGACGAAGGAAGGAAGGAAGGAGGGAGGGAGGGAGGGAGGGAGGAAAGAGAAGGCAGGTCTCCCTCATGTCCCACAGCGGCAGGGGAACTGGGGGTCCCGTCAGGTCCTGCCGGCGGCAGAGGTGGAGTCTCGTGTTCGGCTGTGCCCCCGCCCTCGGCCAGGTGGGCAGCTGTCGGCAGGGACAGGCACGGTCAGCACGTGGCTCTCCCATCACTGGGAAGCGAGGAGGAGGCCAGTGTGGAGCCCTGCTCTCCCGCAGACACCCCCCGCACCGTCCCCAACGTCTTGAGGCAGCTGGTGCTTCTGGAAGTGACAGTGGCCAGTTGAGACCCTTTAGGGGCTCAGGACAGAATGTGACGCTGGGAGCGGGCGAGTCAGTACCAGACGGCACTGGCTGGGCCCTCGGTCCCGGTCCCCTCCCTCTGGGGCGTCTGTAGAGGCCTCTGAGGACGGCTGGAGGGTCTGAGGCGGTGCGCTGTGCTTGGCCGTGCCCTCGGGCGGTGGCCTGGAGGCCCTGCACTGAGCAGTGGGCGTGGCCTTGGCTGTGGGTCGGTGCAGCGGGAACGCCGCCTGACCAGCCTCCCGTCCCACCTGACCTGCGTGGAGCTGTCACCCATCAGGCCATTGATTTCCTGAGCATGCGCATCGCTGGGCCGTCCCGGGCTCGCTCTGGGCAGGGAGGAAGGGAGCGCAGCCTCGGGCGTGGATCCCACCCCCGTGTGTCCCCGGCCCGCGGCCTGTGTTTGCTCTTGTGTTTGCTCGTCTCCCTTAATGTTTGCTCATCCGCTGGCCGAGTGGACGCCTCGGCTCTGGAGGCCTCGCTGCTCCCGGCTGACAGCTCAGAGCTGCTGCCGCGGGAGCGTTGGCTCAGGATGCCACGGAGACACTCGCTCTCCTCGCAGCCGCCCCTGCTAATGGCTTATTCCAGCCTGGCCAGGGCCGGGGCCG